CAAATTTTGCCTCTTGTGTCAAAATTAGCCCCGCCCCTGGTGGCCATAGGTTTTCCTTATATGTATATAGTACAAACTTAAAAAATCATCTTCTCTAAATTTACAAGGCTAGAGTTAAGATATTTTGCATGAAACATTGTGTAGTGAACCTCTGGCAAGATTGTTCAAATTATAGCCCTGGGGTCAAAATTGGTTCCGCCCCGGGGGTCATTGATTTTCATTATGTACATATAGTGAAAAAATAAAAAATATTTTTTGTCTGAAGGTACAAGGCATAGAGCTTTGATGTTTGATATATAATATCATTTATAGGTCCTCTACCAAAGTTGTTCAAAATTTTCCCCTGGTGTCAAAATTGGCCCTGCCCGGAGGCAGTGATTCTCATTATGTACACATAGTAAAAACAGAAAATAAAACAAATGTTTTCTGAATGGGAGAAAGCTATAGCTTAGATATTTGACTTGAAATGTTGTTTGGTGGACCTGTATCAAAATTGTTTTGAATTAAAACCCTTGGGTCAAAATTATGCCTTGCCCAAGGGACAGTGACCTACTTTCTTGTCCTTTGATGTACAGCAATGACATTTTGACCATGTGCACAGTTTTAGTTGTAAAATTGAACTTTGATATCAGGTGACCTAGATTTTGATGATGTGACCTACTTTCTTGTCCTTTGGTGTACAGCTATGAAATTTGAACCATGCGGTGGCATAGCATTTTTATCAAATGCAATCTTGTTATTCAAATGTTATAAAATTTCATGTCGTTTTTGGGAAGTGTATCCCATAATGTTAAGGTGGCAAGGGCTAATCTCTTTGGTACCATAAGTTGTGTGTTTTACCTGCAAACTTGTATTGAATTGGTTATATATAAAGTATATTTCTCTAAGATTGATAGATTGAGAAAGCATATTCTTTTTGGTCTGTCTATTTAAATTATTTGTTTGTGTGTTGTCTGTCTGTCTGTCTGTCACAAAACTTTTAACTTTGGCTATAACAATGTTATAGGCAGTAACAGACACCAAATGATCACAAACACGAAAATCGATCTTGATATTTTAATGATTTGAACATTCAATAGCAACCTTTTACAACAGTTACTTTGTACGTTGTTTTGAATTATAGATAGGATCATTTTAGTTGTAATGTAAGTAGTAAAATCAAAAAATAAGTTATAAATTAACATTGTTTTTGCTAATTGTTAATAATAATTGTTTCAAGTTTTATTTTTATCATTATTTAATGTATATAATTTTCCATATACAGATGGCCAGAGTTTTAAATGATGCTAGCCAAATTGAACATTATAAACTTATCTTCTTCATGTATAAGTTCATTTTCATTTCATTTATAACTTTCAGGTATGACGAAGTGAAAAAAATGTAGGTCATACTCTCTTTAAATAAAGTTTCGATAGTGTCTTAAAATTGTGAAATTAAATGCCTACATATCATAGCTCCGAAGGCAATATATGGGTATTCTGATATAACCTTATTAAATGGTCAGTAATGGAATATTTGTGTCAACTTTCAAGTGAGATAAATGAGTGTGTACTTTGTGTAGGGATTTCCCAATTAAGTTGATTAAATAAACGAACAGATGGATGGATTTTAAAAGGATGATGTTTAAATAAGTATCTTTGTTTTAAATGGAACTTTTTTTGGTTAACATTTTACAAAATAATTAATACATTAGCCACAATAACAGACCAGAAAAAAAAATCGAACAATTTATTGAATTTTAGGGTCCTAAATTTGTTTAGATCTGACTGTACAAGGACACAGGATTTGGGAATGATTATGTTATTGAAATTTGAAAAATTTAATATTTTGATCATTTCTTAATTTTTTTTCATAATTCTTGAATTTAAATTGTTAAGATAGTTATATATTAAAGCTACATGCCTCCAGATGAGTCAAAATATTTCAATAAAATCAAACTTAAGAAAAATGTACTTAAGGAAAGTAAAAAGGATCAAGACTAAAGTAAAATTTTACATGTTCTGTACGATTAGTAACTGATTTTTCAGTATTTACAACTATTATAATTTCTACTGCGTTACTAACGCGGTAAGGGCAATTTATGCATATCTTGACCACTTTTTGGTAATTTACGGGGGTTGATAGTGTCATTGAAATGTGTAAATTGCTTCTTTTTGGTTACTTCACAACATTCAGGTACATTTTCAAAATTTTCATGAAAATTAGCATGAATCTGGAGGCATGCTGCTTTAATGAGGTCCTGTTGGTTTTTTTTCTCTTTGGTTACAAATTTGAAATCAGCATTCAAAGATCAACTTTTCAGACATTTTCAACATATTTCATATTTGTTTTGTTAGGAGATCAAATGCGAGGGGGGGGGGGGAATAAATAATTAACTTATTGTCCAACAATATTGACCTGGCACTTAATTAATTTTTGTAAAGGTCATATGAATAATCACTGACCAGTATCTATTAAATATATCGATATATGAGCCGCGTCATGACAAAACCAATGTGGTGCGTTTGCGACCAGCATGGATCCAGACCAGCCTGCGCATCCGTGCAGTCTGATCAGGATCCATGCTGTTTGCTACAAGTTTCTCTACTTGTAAAAGGGTTGGTAAGCGAACAGCATGGATCTTGATCAGACTGCGCGGAGGCGCAGGCTGGTCTGGATCCATGCCGGTCGCAAACCCATTATGTTGGTTTTGTCGTGACGCGGCTCATATTTGCTATACTTGTCAGTGACATGTGGTGTATTGGTATACATTGTAGATGTTGGACTACCAATCTAAAGGTCCCTTGTTCGATTCCTTACCAACACCACGCTATTATTTGTTTTTAAAATTTACTTGCAAGAATTAATTTGAAATCGTTTTACTACACCTGGTTTTAGAAAACATTTTAAGTGGTGTTTTTATACACAATTTATTTTTTTTATTTCATTACAGTATCTTTCAACGGTTCTCTTTGTGTCATTATGCAATTGTATATTCTTAAGTGCATACATGCTATAAAGGCAGTTATTAAAAATACTACATACAACACTGATAGTAGACAAAACAAAAATGTTTGCAATGATTTTAAGAGAAAGCCAATTTTAAAATTAAAAAGAAAAATGAAATGGCTGAAATAGGATTCGAACCTGCCAGTTTACGTCTACATTCTTCTAGTGAAACCCCCTTACCAACTGCGCTTAGAGGGCTTTTTAATATACACCATTTTAACAATTAGCCATTTGCATTTAAATGTATATCAATTTACAAGTACACGTTTACGAAATATACCGACTACAGGGTCAAATTCAAGAGTGCCTGGACAATACTTAAGTTAAGGTAATTTACTCTAAACTTTTTGTGTGACAACAACATGGTTACCTTTTATGGCCTTAGTATTAAATTAGCAATATTAAATAAGCATATCAAAGTATCAATAGAATGAAATATGTTAAATGTGTTAAATATATTTTTGCTGATATTGGAATTTGGTGTATTTTGGGGTGAAAATTATTTCTCCTGAGTGAGTGCTATGATGACACACTGATTAACTTGGGTAAAAGTTTAGCTCCTTGAATTTTAGCTCATTTTCTCTTGAAATTGACCCACACTGTCATGAAATAGCCAGCTGCCTAGGTGTGTACCATTAAAAGTGGACTGGTGAAAGAAACATTGACTTTAATAGTTTAAAAGATACTGGGATAACTTGAAGGAAACTTGATGAATTAACTTGTGTTATTTATTTTTAAAAGTAGTAATTTATCTAAGTTGCCAGAACATTAACCTGTGTCAGATTCAGAACTCTAGTTGTGTTTCACACCTGTTTGAAAGTTTACTTATAACTGGTATAAGATTGTAGAATGTCAGTTGTATTAACCTGAAGTTCATTGACATTTGTCAATATTTTATTTTTATATGTTTGATTACAGGTAATATAACCTGTAACGTGAATTTCTTGTCGGATGCTGACACAAGAGAACACCATGCTATTTTTTGGTGACCTGCATGCTATTTCTATCTTATTAGGGTAATATGCTATATAAATAAGCTCAGTAATTGGCCGTTTGAGCATGCTATTTTAATTTTACCAGTCAGTGTGCATGTCAGGGCCAAGAGGACCTCTAAGTGTTCCCAGTGCCTGAAAGGGCTGAATGGACATTTCATTATCGCAAAATGGGCAGAAAAAACTTGAAGTAAACTGAATTTAAGTGGAAAACTGCATGATTCCTAAAGAATTTCCCAGGAAGATGGGGGCGGGGGCGTTGTGGAAGTCACCAGCTATAGCATAACAATTGGCCTCGGGCAGCTCAGATTACCTTGATCATTAAGTTTTCTTCATAACTGAAATGTTTAATCAGATATTTTAAGATGTGCATAGTTAATTAATCAATTTAATGATCAATTAAATAATCAATTATATAACCAATTAAGTAATCCAGTAAATTAGATTATGTCATACATAGCATGAGTCAGGTTTTAAGGCAATGTTTTATTATCTTTGTGAAACAATTGTTTATGAATTATTTATTTACAATGGCAGTTTACTGACTCACTGGTTAAATGTGCAAGAATTATCGGATTTTCTTTTCTTTTATGGCTCATGTTCTTTGTTATAGCACAGTGGTTTAAGATAATTCAAGTCTGCTTAAGGTGTTTTAAGGACAAAGTGTATTTTAGATTTTTAATGTGATATGTTTATGCTGTATTAATGTTCTAATTTCTTGATAATTAATTGTTTTGACAACATTTTCTGTTATGAAATAGTACCTGTTATTTTTGTCTCATTTACCAACTTGTAAATGTCAGCGATTTTTATTTATATGGTATGCTTGACTGATTAGCTTATACTATAAATGCACTTTGCATTTCATTTTGCTCTGATAAGAGATTTTCACGCACAGATGAACATATATAGTAAAATAGTAATAAACAGGTAATATATAACCCTGAACGGAAATGGAAATTTATCTACAGTCGTGAATTAATATCTTAGTATATGTTTGTATTTCATTTCTTCTTACAGGTGTCGTGAGAAGGTATAAATCAACAAATTTGGAAGTTTGATGACATCACAGGCTGTTAAATTCAAGGATCGCTTACAAAAGATTAATTGGCGTGATTAAGACAAATTTAAAAGGAACAAAAGGAGCATTGAAGAAGTGGTTACAAATAAAACTGATCTAATGACAGAATCGCTCATTCGAATGAAGGATATCTGTACACGGAGCTAAATGATTTGAATCACTTGGCAGGGCAAAAAGGTGGCGTGAAGATATTAAATTATATTTATAGTGTAAAGTAAAACATGGAAAATGTTTCTTCATGTGGATTTTGTTGTGATTGGAATGAAATAATGAATTAAATTACAGTGGTTGTAGGAAAAGGATTAAAAAGTGGAACTGTTTGGAATTGAAAATTTAACAGAATGTCAGCCTCGATGGAGATCAGTAGTGCACCAGGGGTCAGCGGTGGAATGGCATCGCCAGTGGAAGGCGATGACGTTTTTGGGGATGGTAGGTATACATTTATATCAGATATTTTATATCAGACCATAAATGCCTCTGTGACCAGAATTTGCATACAAGTGTTTGCCTGAAGCATACTAATTTGGGGTCAAGGTGAAATTTCTTGATTATGGTAGAGTTTTAGCTACATTATATATTACTTTAGTTCTTCAGGCCCTGAAGTCCAGTTCTTTCAGAATACATTTGCAGGCTTTATCCTAGCCATTTTTGGAAAAGTACCTTCCTAAGGTTGGGAAATTTGCATCATAAAGTTGCTTTATTGGGAAAAATATTTTGTACCTTTTGAATTCAAGCCTCCTTCATGGTTATTCTGAATTGTGCAAAAAAGTTTATTCCAACCAATGCATTGATATATAATATCATTCAAAGCATAAAAATACATTAAATTGTGTGGAAACATCATCTGCCTGATACCATACTGGAATTAACTCAAGAATTTCAGTTCAGTTGGGAATTTTGTTTAAAGATTGGGAAAAAACAAGCATATTTGCCATTGGGAATGGGTCTGGTAATCCTACCTGTGGTGACACTGGGAAAAGGCAAGCATTGAAGATGTTTCTTACACCAACATCATTAATTCACTGATATCTCGGGTACTTGGTATTATTAGGTATCTTCATAGGCTCATAATGTTGGGGTGTCAGGTCTGTAGGGTTATGGTCAAAGTCTCTGATGCTAAAAATAGATTCTCTTACTATTCCTTGTACTAACGCTATCATTCTTAGCACTCTACCTTTTGTTAGCGTTTTTAGGCCTGTTTGGTCAAGGTCATTGATGCTAAAGATAGATTCTTTTATTCCATTGGAGAGCATCTACATGTACTTGCTTTTACTGATATTCTTGTGAACTTAAGGTTGTAGAATGAATTTTATCATTGACATAATTAATTAACATGAAAATGTTTCATTAAAATATTATTTTGTAAATAGTTATTCAAGTATTATCCATTTCACCTGTTGGTTAATGTGACAGGTCCACAATAGTATGAACTTTTGTATGATGTAATTCTGAAATGATTCATAAAAAAACAACAATATTTAACATGTCAGGTCATTCTGTCACATGACTGTAACAGACTCAATTGAAATTTAACAAGGAAAACTTCAGAATGAATACAAAAACAAGGAAAAATTCAGAATAGATGTGTTCTGAAGAGTAGATAACAACTAGTATATTTAAAATTAAATGCTTTTTAGATGACTCACAAAAAAATGTGAATTGTGAATGAACAAAAATTGTATTGATTTTTTTCTGGACTAAAAGTGGCATAAAATTTCAGCATTCGTATTTAATTTTTATAATTTTTTCAACAGATTCAAGAGACAAGAAGAAAAAGTTTAAGCCATTTCAAAAAATGCGGAATTTTTTCCGAGGGAGTAGTAAGAAAAGGTTCAAACCAGAGGAAGCTGGCGGCCAGAAATCACACTCCATAGGAGCACTACATCAGCGGGGAGGAAGTGGTGATGACGATGATGACGGAGGGTATTTAACTTGCTCATCTTTAATGTTACTTTATTAGTTTGAGATCTACAATATTTTTGTTTGTTTATAAGACGGATCTTTTATAAGTCATCTCAGAGTCCCAATTTTATTATAATGAATAGACTGAAGCCAGTGTATCATTTTAATGACATTTGAATGACTTAGATTTTACGGACTTATTACATTACAGGTACATGTACATTGTATAACTAGCTATCCGGCAGAAATTTGGGTTTCCAGTAAGCTGGAAAGAAGACCTAAATTATCTGGCCCCAACTGACAAATGACGATTAAAAATTCACCCAAGAAAATGTAATTAACAGTGTTCAACACTGAATCTAATACACTTGATACTATTCTGCTATTAAACATACAGGACTGTGAATTATTACTTATTATGCAATAATTATCAAGTGCATTATTACTTATTATGCATAACATAATAAAGTAATGCTGTACAGTCATGCAATAATTATGATGTGACCTCAATAAACCAAAATGATATCACGAACATTACTTGTCTGTTCAACAGTAAGTTCAAGATGTTTTATATCAATTTATTTCTTTCTGATTGCATGTTATAACAGAAATATATGTCAATTTTCCTTGCCTTGTTACATAATATATTACTTGATTTATCGTTCAAATCCTTTGTAATTGATATATATTATATTACTATTCATTTTAACTTGAACCATGCATTATTCTAAAACAACCCACTCTAAATTGGTATCTATTTCATCATTTTACAACTTGCTGACTTAATTTAATTTTCTGATGTAGCTTATTTGTAAAAATTAAGATTTTATGGCAATGGCACAAATTATAGCTGAGTCAAGAGAATTATAATATCAGGGGAAATAATTCCATGAATGTCACGTAGATTTTAATGTAAGCAATATGTCTTGTCAACGTTGAAAGTGATACATCAGTCTGATTGAGGCTCAGAGACAGTCACACTGGGATTACATATATACCTGATAAACATGTTGATATGCTATTCAACATAAGTATACCTATCGAGTTTTCCAAAATTGATGTCATGGTGACACATTTAAATGTCAATGTCAGGTTTAAAATTAACTATAAAATTATATTTATTTGAAAATTGCATATATACAAATTTTTAATCAATTTTTGTATGAATATTCATGAATGTGCGGCCTTGTAGATATCTGAATAATGAATATAAGGAATATAAGCAGTGCTCTAACAGGGAGCTCAGAAAAAAGTTTTATAACCTAGAGATTAATTAAGATAAACTTAAAAAGAGAAAAACCATCTCTGCATTGAAATTTCATATAATAGAATTAAAAGATGATAAATTTTGTAGATTCAGACCCAAGTCTCTTGGTCTGGCTGGCAGCAGAAGTATATCAGAGGACAGCATATTTAAGCCCGACCCCAAAGAACAGACGCCGGGGGTTCTGGAGAATAAAACGGTCTCTATGGAAAATATTGACACAAACCCATTTCAGGTAAAACTTGATAACTTGACAAATTACTCACATATACTGTATATGTATTTAATCTAGTATTTGTATATATAGACAGGTTACATATATATAATTAGCATATATTAGCATAAATTAGCATAAATTAACATACTAATTGAAACTGCAATGACAAAAATGTAGTACAGAACTTGTATTCAATATATTAAAGTTTTGTTTATCGAATGCATGGCATGGAAAAAGCCCAGAAAACTTTCTTATAGCTGAATTAGTATAGACGTGAGACAGCCTGTATCCGTACAATCATGTGTCTGAAAGATGGGGAAATTATTGTTACTTTAGGCTTTGAAATATTAAGATTTTTGTTTTTTCAATCCTTGAATTTTTCAATACAGTTGGATTGCATGCAAAAAAAACAGTGCCATTTAAAAACAATCTTAAATGCATGACAAAACCTAAACCCTTCTTTCATCATTTAAGTGTTTAAACCTAAATCTTGAGTCACTATTAAGCAGTGAGCTGTATCATATGATGGTGTTGGGGGGGGGGGGGAGTGAAAATGTTCAAAATGAGGCCACCAAAACCAAAATCATTAAAACATATGAATCATGACAAAAATGGCAAATGTCATTCGAAAGATATAATATTATGTACGAATGAAAAAACATATAGATCGTAGGTAATGCAAGTTAAATGACATCACGGAAAATTCATTTTCCTTTTTAATGGGTCAAAACGAGCGGCATTCTTTACATATTTCAATTTTTACAAGCCGTGTGTATTGAAGCAAGCATAACCCATTTAATTATATGGTAGTAAGCTGGATATACGAGATCAAAAGAGACTGGAATGAAAATAAAACTGCGGATTGATTTCCATACATTTTCTTTTCAAAGCAACAAATAAGGCAGTGAAATATGCAATAAATCTTCGTGTAGTTTTCTTTTTTTCTTTCTGTCTACATCTTGTTGATGACAGTAAAGTATGAGAAAACGTAATATGTAAATGATTGAAGTTTATTTATGTTTTATAATTAATGGTAGGCAAAATTATTATGAAATATAGAATGATGAAACGTAATTCCTCTTTTAATTGATATTATAATAACAATATTAAATTCTAAAGGTTCATAATGTAGGATTGTCCTTTAAAGATTGAAAATTTCACAACTGGACTGGTTTCTTTTTAAGCCTCTATCACATCAGCTGTACGAAATTTGGTTCGTACGATGTATAGAGAAATTTGTGCCGTAGTTTAAGGTGGCAGGCAATTTCGCAGTCTTATAATCTAGACAGATTTGTAGATAAGTTACTTAATATCATTTGATTACGGCCGCAGTAGCAGCAAGATGCTTGTGCGGCAAACCTGCGGTCCCCGCAAGACAAACGTTAAACATTTTTAAACATGAGAACCTCTAGAAATCGTGAGTCTGTCATACGATTGTCTTACGACAGTCTTTAGACATACAAAATCTATCAAAAAATCGCAGAAATAATGTGCATGTTGAGAAATCACTGCGACGTTGCAGTAACCTTGCAACCTTAAAGAATCCGTACGAATGTCTTGCGGCTCCCGCACGAAACACAGCGATTTTTGTCAAAATTTGTTTGTATGGCTGCCGTAGGGTTGATGTGATAGAGGCTTTAGTAAAATACGAAACATCAAGAACAATATAAAGATTACATTTTGAGGCCCAATTATTCAAACCTAAGTTATGTTATGATTATAGAACATTAAGGCTGCATACAAAATACTTTATCATACTACTAGCTGCTGGATTTTAGCATGCTAATCTTAAATCCCCTTAGATTAATATTGAACCCTTCCATATTTAGATTTAGGCAAGTCCATTATTAACATATATGTCAATATTTACAGTTTGAAATTTAAAAATGGCAACATCTGCTTTAGATGACTTAATTTTATTTATGAAATATTTATCATTACACATAATTGTCTCATGAAAATATTTTGGTTTTATAAGTTTAAAATAGAAAAAACAGTTAAATAGTGTTTGTAATGTGAATTTGAAATAAAATAAGATTTGTCATGTGAAAGTATCTTTTAAAAAACCTGTAAGTGGTGTCATACTATATATATATTATTAACATAAGTATGTGACCTGGAGGGGATAGAATTTATCTTAAATGCCATCAGGTCATGCTATTCCAAGCATGTAAATTGATATATGTTTTGCTTGTATGCACACATACCAAATTACTAATCCATATCCAAGATAAAAATAAACATGGGACAGCTCAGTATTTGTGGTAATGTAACTAATCTATGCCACTGTATGTATGTAATAAAGCCTGGCCCGGCACAATTCCTAAACCTGAGGCTATATGGTCACTAACTTCAGATAATTTGCCTCTCACCATTTTGGTATGAATGATGTGCCATGGTCTTTGAAATCTGTTGTGTTAGGAAGCAATCCAGCTAGCTGATGGAAGGTTGATAATTCTTGTTAATTTAAGTGCCCCCTTCTTAAATGTTTCTCTTCATGAAATATGATGAATAGAAGTACCTGGAGCCTAGCATGAAAGCTGATCTACCCTTACCACTCTATATATCTTAAAAAGACATGTCCATCTTTTAATCTGGACAAAACCTTTCATTATTTTTAGGAAAACTTACAAAATATATTTACTGACTGTAAAGTGAACAGTGCAGACCATGATCAGAGAGCATGGATTGTAATCTCAGGGGAATGTGCTGGCTGATTGTGGTCTGCACTGATCGCATGGGTAAAATCTGTTGTCAACAGTTGTTGGCTTAAAATCCAAACAAAGAAACATTTTGACCAAAGTCCTTGCAGCTGGCTCGATCATTAGAATTCCCGTTCTAAAATCATTTAAATTAAGAATGGAGTGATCCATATCAAGGCAGTGTATGCCAATCACATATTTTTAAGAGGGTTAAAATTTGAATGCTGTTGCAAACAGATATTGCATTGTCCTTTTCATGAAGTTTATATCACATAGACCAGTGGCAGGCAGCCTGTGTATATTGATAAGCATGATGGTATTTTGTTAAGGTGGGGAAGGATCCTTTCGTAAAGCCTTTGATTTCAAAGAAAAAAGGAATATCACAGTGCATTCTGATTGTTATTATGCTAAAGAAGTATTGAAACAATAATTCTATTTTATTGGTCCTCAAAACACCCAGACAGGTAAATTTTGTATACAATGTAATGTGTAGCATTTTTGTATTAAAACTTGTAACATAACAATTTTGATAGGTATTATATCATTATTATGATACATATTTATACATAACAATACATCATTCACAAAGGTTTTATTTTAGCTCTAATCTCCTTTTCAATTAGATCTACAAAACTTATTAAAAAATAAAACCATTGTGAATGAGATAGAGCTATATATATCCATATATCCACCTATTTTACACACACACTATTTACCTATATAGTACAAACATATTATATACTTTCAGTGTTTTCCCTTTTAGATACATGTAAAAGAATACTAATTTGAAATTGTGATGATTTTCAAATTTTATTATGATTAAAATGTATAGTGAAAGGGGATAACACTTATTAAAATTAGACACTAGTAAATAAACTGGATCATTTCAAAATTAAGCAGCCGCAGTAGGTTTCTTAATTCTGAAGGGTCAGGGCTGGCCTATTTCCTTGCTTAGAATATAGGCATCCTGTATGTATGTATAGTCAGTATAGTTATATAATATGCCCTGCACTAACACCAGCACCATTGGTTTACAGAGTGAATTATTCGCCAAGCTGCGCTCTCGACAGTCAGACTCGGATGTTGACGAGGGGTTGCCGTACAGCCCCTTGACTACGCTTACTCCACATGGCCTTATGTTTGACACGGGCCGGAAGGTAAGAAGCCACAGTGGTGTGTGTGTGATACTATTAGCTAGACTGGAGTTGTGTTACAAATACTAACAAATGCATGTTTATTTTTGCCAGTTTTATTTGTGATACAGTTTTTAAGATTTTATTTCTTTTACCTCAGTTTTCTTTGTGGAGTTATAACATCATTATAAAAAAAATATTTTTTTTTTGCTATTTACCTTTTTTGGTAATTAAATTAATTTGCGAATAAGAAATAATGTAAAATGTAATTTTTCCTTTTTTTCCCACAGTTTTTTTTTGTGTTAAAACACTAAATGAAGGATTGGTAATAATGTGTTTTAATAAAGCATTTTTATTAGATTAATTATCAATACCATTCAATAGTTGTTATATTACCATTAATACTATCCAATATTGTGCTCTGCTAATATTGTCCTTTATATAGTGCATGCCTCTATACCCAGGTTTCTTTATAATGTTTGCATCTATTGTCACAGTCTTTTGTCAGTCTTGTCAATTAATGACAGTTATATTGTGTGATAATTATGTTCATTTCATCAAATCAGATTTCCCTTCGGACATTACTCTCATGTGGTACGCTTTTATTCTTCTTTGTAGTTCTTAAAAGCATAGGTTTTTGTCCTTTAGGGCATTTTTTATCAACAACTTTAAACTCACTAGACAAAATACAATGAGTCAGCAAAAATTTTTGTCATGTTTTGTTTATAGTTTTTTTTAATATACAAGTGAAAGGGAGACAACAGTTGAATTCACTGGCTGGCTTTAGTAAACTTTCTTAGAATCTCATAGTACAATTTTGTTCTTGCTATTTTAAAATTATTTTTACATGACTGCTACAATATGGTGTGGACACTCATTATTTTAGAAAAATTATGCTCACTTAAGGTTTTAAGATTTTTCAAGAACAAAAGAAAAAGTATCAGTTTTATTTGAACAGTTGTAGATATGAATCGTTTGTTGTCAGCGAATTTGTATCAAATAGCGCTAACTTTAGAAAACGGTGCTGAATATTGATTATTGGTTGCCATGGAAACGTCTCGTACTGAATCTGAGAGGAGATCACCTGACAGTTTCGCATTTCAAGTCAAAACACTGCCATTTATGGCATAAACAACACGGAATTTACTATTGATTCAATTTTTATGGGAGATTTTTGTTTGGATTTTAATGATGTTTAACCAAGAATACAAGGTAAAACCATTATGATTTAAGATTGTCGTGCAGTGTCAAGCTTTTCAAGATGATGTCATTCTACCAGTGTGATAAGGAACGGCTGTTTTTATTATTTGTTATTGTTTTGCTTTTTTCCTTTAAGTTGATGTAGGGATTTTCTCTCTTCATGTTTAAAGGAGCTTTCTCATAGCCGAGGTGAAATTTAAAATATGAAACTGTACTAAATATGGGATAGAATTGATACATTGGTGTTGAGCAATTTATTAATATATTTGAAAAAAATGCGTACGTGATTGTGGTATATAAGTTTCTAGTCTTATGAATGGCAAAATATTCACAATCTATATTTATGTGATAGTTATGACAATGACGCAAATGATAAAATTATTTAAAAGGCCTTTTAGCCTTAGCCCTTTTGCCACTGACCCCCCTCCTGTGATCTCTTTAACTTTCCCATTGTACACTTGTGCACAGTCCTCCCCATTTCCCTGCCCCCCCCCCCCTTCCCCCAAAGAAAAATATAAAAAGTAAAAGTAATC